TTCTGTTATTGTTGTTAAAAGTTATATAAAAATATTGTATTGATATTATAAAAATATAAATAACAAAAATATTCTAATTTCTAGTCTGAAGATGGGATAAGAAAGTGGATCCCGAAACGTCATAATAAAGAAAAATTGTTGGGAGAATAAATACTGTTATCAAATCCTACTTATATACCTTTATTTATTATAATGTACATATTCTTGGCTTACAATAAATTTGCCATCTACCTCGGTATTCAGCAAATATGATATCAAGGAGAAGAAATAATAGCATAAAGAAAAAAAGAATAGTAATAACAAAATAAGAAGACAAAAAGAAAGAAAAAACACAGTAAAAAACGTTTAAAAAAAGTTGTTTTGGGAAAATCTCCCATAAACAAGTATTGGTGGGCACTCTGAAAATAGTTAATGATTCCTAAGATATTTTGTATATGTAATTTTCTTTTATAAATTTTTAATATGATATTTTTAATATAATTGTCTTTTATGGATTAATTTTTTTAATATGTTCAGAAAAATGATATCTTAATTTGGTTTCAGGTAGATTTGGAGTCGGTGAGAAAGAAGACATTTTATCTGTCGGCCGGGGGAAAGGTATCGCATTACTATTTCATTAGCTAATGTTCTAATCTCGCGGTAGAGGTCGCTGTCGCCCTATCGGCGCATCAACCACCCCGCATGCCATTTTCATTATACTTATTAAAAAAAAAAAAAAAAAAAAGGTTAAATAAAGTATTTCGAATATCTTCTGAATTGTTGTTGTAGAAATAGTTCATGCTTTGAGGTAATATTTTTTGAAACATTAACCTGAGAAGTAGAAATAAAAATTATGGTTTTTAATAACAAAATTAAAAATAGGTTAAATTAATAATAGGGCTGCGAGGAAAAAAATGTTATCATTTATAATTTAAAGGTTTTTATTATACTAGTTTGGCAATGCATAGGAAAATATGTTGTGTGAACTGATTTGAAATGACATGTAAATTTATGGATTAAATAAATATAACCTTATAAGCGGAGGTTTTAATGAAGAATTAATAAAGAACAGTGTAAAAATAAAATAAAAAATATGATGCGGTGCGTCACACAACTTTCACTTACCACCGTCTTCTTATCTGAAATAAGTATTTTCAGACAAAGGAAAAGAGAAAGTAAAAATTATAGACATTATATTTATTTATATTTCATTGTGGGTATTTTTATTTGTATAGATACCCTTTTATATATATATTATATATAAATTATAATATTTATATCGTTGTAATGTATACAATGAAATATTAAATAATACCAACAATAGCATTTATGAAATCCGCATATCTATATTTATATAATATTGTCGGAGTGCGTATTATATTAATTTCATGTAGCGTATGGAAGACTGTTATAATCTTTGGGGTGAGCTCGGGCACGATTAATTAAAACTATTCTCCGTTGCGATATCATATTTCTCCTTTAGTTAATTATCAAATTCTTTGATATTTTATATTTTACAATCTTTTATATTAGAGATTAATGTGAAATAGTCAATTGTTTCAAATAAAGAAAATTAAAGGTACTTAAAATTTAAAGGAAGCTAATATTGAAAATTAGCCATTTAAGCCTTATTATAAAACATCAATCAAAATTAAAACTACATTTTATTTAAAATGTTTAATTTTACACTTATATAAGGAATTTAATCAAAGTCGTTGGAGCTATTTTCGAGAAAATCGTAAAAATGTGTTTAGGGCATGTTTTGAACTGCCACTTCCGGTTAGCCGATTTTTACATGTTGCTCTAACATCCCTATCATATAAAAACCGTAAATATGCAATTTCACGTTCGTACAACTTTTCTAGCTAGACTGTTAACACACACACAGCATTTTGCGAGAGTTGGTTATTTGGACTCAGGGGACCTCAAAAAGTGTATTTTTGTTGAAAACTGAGATTCGAAAGTTTTTCACGATCGCAATACTTTCCTTTACTAAATATTTCAAATATAGGTAAGTGAAAGTAAAAATGTAAATGAGCAAGTATAATTAGGCTGTGATAATTGTTTTATTTTTAAAAGGTTTCTTCTCTTGAAAATGGCCTAAGGGCTGAACCGTTGGTGTAAAATAAATAAATAAAGAAGAGAAGAATAGTTGGGATGATCAGTCAAATAAGCAGGCAAAAATAAATGATAATATAATAATATTGCCATTTATAAATAATAATATTAACGTGCATTTTTGCCTACTTATTTGACTGATCACTCCAACTATTCTTCTCTTCATTATTCACGACAGCCGACCATTTACCCACAATTAGAAATAAATAAAGCATGGATATTGGGACCTAATAAGTGTTATTATTATTACTAATAGTGAAGTCCTTACCAAAAACTTTGATGTGTGTATATATATATATATATCAGGAAATTTCTTATATATAAGAAATTTCCTGATCGTGTCTATCTTTGCGTTTCATCTATGGCTCACATTCGATTTGGTACAGGAATGCTAAAAGGTTGAAATCAAAGATTTGCTTTCAGGGTTTTTACATATCAGCAGGGTTTTTTTTTTTTTTTTTTTCCTCTCTGCAATTTGTACATTTAGAAGCTTTGGTACTGAATGCATCTTAACAGCGAGAGCGCTACAGTGCTCTCTTATCTTCTTGCTCTCGATGTGGGTAAGACATTAGTGTGGAAGTTTTGTGAATTAATTAGCCGCTGACATTCTTGACGAAATGTCAGAGGGGTCTAGTTGGACGAGAGAGGATCTCATGCTGTTAGTAAGCAATGACACATGCTTACAATCGATGCTTTTCTTTCGATGAGATGATCGATTTTACACAATTGCAAGGAGGGCAGTTTCGCGATTGAGCTAGGTTTCAAGGTAGATGAAAGCGTGGTGAAGATATCGGATTAACAAAAAGAAGGAAAAGGTAAAGCGGTTAGAAAGGAAGCGACCTTCAACTCTAAACAGGTTTTAAAAGGATCGAGATTTATCTTTTCTTGATAGGGTTTAATAAAAAAAAAAATAAAAAAAAATACAAATTAAAAAAAAAGTTAATTCCGTCTTTAATTAAATATCGACCCTTGGATTTTGTCGAGTGTAATCCAGGCTATTTAATTAATTGAACTATGTCGTCTTGAATACTAAATCATTTATGTTACTCGGTATAATTTTAAACAACTATTTACTGAGCAGGTATGTCAGAATCATAACAGAGGGAAGTGGACGATCTCAGAGTGTATCCGAATTGTTTGAATTAGAGTTGCTATGGGGATGGGATATCGAAGCCCCATTATCGATATATTGCCATCAATATTAATCTATCGATACTATCAAAATATCGGCCTGGAAATATCGATAATCGATATTATAAAGATTTTTGAAATATGAATATCAACATCGATCGATAATCGATTCTCTATCACATAGGCGCATCAAAAAAATATGCTATTTTCCTCTTTAAATTAATTAATAGAATATTAAAATAATATTAATTCTTCTACCCTTCTTTGTAAAATTACTTTTCTAGTTCCTGTCCATCTTCGTCATTCTCAGCTTTTCCCCCGAAATTTCCATTCAATTATTCCTTCCATTCACCCATAGATCGGATTCAGCGTTTTCTATCGTATATTTCTGTTGAAAACTCAGATTCCAAAATGTTTACGATCGCAATACTTTCTCTTACTGTATATTACATACATAGGTAATTGAAAGTAAAAATGTGTTAAATTGATTAAGTAAAAAAAAATAAAATCTGGTGTTACTCATTGCATTGGATTTTTTTTTCCTGAAAATTGATTAAAGAAAAGATATTTGAGTACGATTCATTTGATAAACTAAATCAATGCAACGATCAACCTTAAGGTAGATCAGTGTGAAAATTTCAATACTCTCTAATTTTGCTGATGAAACACTTTTTGCCATAGCTTAGTATTGTCAAACAATAATTTCTGTTAAAAGTAGAGGAAATAGTGAAGATTGTGTGATGCAGGCAACAGATTTTCTTACTTTCACTTAGTCATCTTTTTTCTCTCATTCACCCCTTTCTGACACCAGGATATGAAACCGTAATCTTACATTGGAAATTGAATAGCTGTAACTTCATTAATAGTTGTACGAAATGAACGATTTTTGTATAGTTCAATACTTTCCTTACGTAGCATAAGTAAGAAAGTAATAAATTAAAACATGTGAAAAAAAATAGAATACTTGAATATCATCGCTCATACTGGTTCAATTCTGATGATTTGTTTTTTGTTTTGTTGGTGATTTAATTAACTTTCAAAAGTTTTACTATAAATTTTACCATAGAATATCTACTTAGCGAGTTAGGCCCCAATACATTTTTCTTTTCTTTATGATTTTTTTTCCTGATTTTTTTCGGGAATTTAGTCCATGTACGAAAATTGAAAGTACAATTATTAGACCATCATAGGAAAGTTTTTCATTTATTGCGCAGCAGCCTATTGCTCATGCAACACTCAAAATCAAAACCCTAAAAAACAAAAAAAGAAACAACAAATTCAGTCCTCTAGTTCCCGAGAAAATCTTGACACATACAGACAGACTAATGGCTAAAAACGTGTTTTTCGGACTCAGGGGACTCTGCAACGTATAGATCCGTCGAAAACCACATATCGGAAATTTGACCCGATCGCAATACTTTCCTTATCTAGTATAGGTAGGAAAGTAAAATAAGAATTACGAACTAATAAATACAAAATAAAATTGTGTCGCTTCTAATCATCTTTTTGATATAACTTTCCTTTGCTGCGTTCATGCAATATGCAATTCAAATGCGATACTTTTGCAGTCAATGTAGTTTCCTGATATTGATAACGAACAATGTTGGAACTTAATTTGTTATTCTGTGTTTTACGAGGTATCACTTATCAGACTACTTATTGTTATTGTTTTTTTTTCTAAATATAAATTAATCCAATATCCTAAAACAGGACAGCAGACACCCCGCGACCTAGAGGCAGTGCATCGGCATCCAGTTGGGAAAGATCCGTGGCTAAGTCCTGCCGAATCCATTAGCGGTGCAGCGGTCGGAGAAACTACTTGGTCCTTGTCGAGTATCCTTGTCGATTCTACTGCCTGGCCTAGCTCGATGGAGCGGAACCGGACAATAACTAACATTGTTAGCTGGAAACTTTAAATTATATCGGAAGGAGATGGTCCGGGGTGGCGGTCATAAATAAGCTAAATAGTGGCAAAACTATCTTATTAAAAGTCAACGTTTCGACCCAACTTTACAGGTTTTCTTCAGGGAGGTGTGTTCAGCTAGGAGTTTCACTTAGAACTGGAGTTTTAAATTATATGGAATATATCCTCTCGATTGCTGAGGTTAAAATCATCTAAACCTCTAACTAGCCTGTTTTGTATGTTTAGATAATATATATAAAAAAAAAAAAAAAAAAAAAACCTGTAGCACTACAACCCATGAAGGGTCTGGGATTCAGTACTATTTAGGGACAGTACTGTTTCTAGGTCAACGGTTGTGCAAGGAGGTGATTTGACCGAGATCACGCTCAACCGCCAGGTTTTCCTCCTTAATCAATTATTTAATTAAGGGTACCCACTTTATAGAGGCTGGGTGTGCCCCAGGAGAGACTCTCACAACCCAGGGTCGCCCCAGATAATATAAAAAAACTACTATAATTTTTGCTTTAGAACTCTCATAAAATATCATTTTATAATGATATATTCACCTAAAATTAGTGTTGCCCAAATGCGAGACAAGTCGATTCTTGGTCTTGCGCGCTCAGTCTTAATCTTGCGCAAGAATCTTGCTAAAGTTTAGCAGTTACTTATTAGCTTATTACTATAGAGGTGTTACTGTCGTTTTTTAGATAGGAGAAATCTAACTATGGCCGAATAAAATGCTGTTAAATGCAATGGTATATTGGTTATACTGTGACTAAAAATAAAATACAAAAAAAAAAATCAGTTCGTAAAATAATTGTTAGTTTTACCTCGAAGAGGGTTAGCTAAAAATAAATTAGCTTTAAGTATTAGTTGTAAATATTAATTTTAAGTCAGTATAGCTGCTAGCATATGAGAGAGAGAGACAAAAGACTGTCGATAGAGATGGCGGAACGTCGCGAGTGTAGAGGCATACTAAGGATTTGTGTGTGTGAAATAATTTAGTTTTATGGTGTACACCACATTTTTCTTTTCCTCTCCAATAACCTGTGATTATCAGCGACGAGTGCCTTTGATATTATAAGTTGGTGAATGGACATTTCACAGCTTAAAGAGGTGGACTGGGGAGACCCTGATTTTTCAAATATTTTTAATTGGTTTATTGTATAGTCTAAGTTAATGTTTAGTTCTATAATAATTTTATATTCTTTTTTTGATAATTAAAGTTAAGTGCATTTTCTTTGTTTTCTTATAAATCTAATGTCTTGTTCATAATTTTCATTTCCTTTAACAGTTATTTAAATTAATAGAAATAAGTAAATTCATCATTAGTTTTAAAAATAGCCAGTTTTATTTTCTTCTTTTTCTTTTCACATTTTATTTATATTATATTATTTTTTTCAAGGTTATTAAACCTTGTAAAACCCTATTCCAGAGATTAGAGAAAGTCATTATTAACCAAGTAAGAAGGTTCGATAGGTTATGAGGTTAATTAACATATGTTTTTAAACCCATAGGTTCCGAGTTCGTAGCTCTCCGCGTCCAAATCTTTTTTTTTTTAATTAAATTTTTTATTTTTATGGTTTTCTCTATTTTCCAAATTCAAACAATTAAATAGCGTGGCGCCTGTTAGGTAGTTAGAAATATTTAATTGACTTCATTATTTTTTTTTTTTTACGAACCCTACCGTCTCCACTGAGCATCCGGCAAGTTTGTTGCGGAAACAATTTTTCGAAATTAAAGACCGTAACAATACCAATTCTTTACATATAGTAATTAAATTGTGAAGTATTAGTAACTATTTTGTCTTAGCTTTTATTCGAAAAATCGATTTTTTTTACCAATCTTAGTCTTGGTACAGTTCGTTCTTCTTAGTTTTTAATTATGATTTATTTGTGTTTGGATAAATATATATTTTTTTATTTCCTTATCAGATAAGGATCACCTGATGGAAGGATCGTGTTGAGGACGATGCACCAGGATATCGTTGATCACTGACACATACTCCGTCAGTGCCTGTGGTCGTGTCGTTACGTCAAAGTGTCGGTCCTTTCCCGCCGATGACAGGAGTCCTGTTCTTCGTGCGGTCTGGTTCTTGAGGAAATCGCGTTCCCCCACAACTATCATACTAAAGACACCGCAGAACTAACATGTAATTCACACCTGCTAGCATCGGCGATAGTTCCATAGATCTGAATATAGACAGGTTGTGGAGGTTGTTAGAGTTTCATGAACTTAGCAATTTAGCGGCGCCGCACAGTGATTTGAGAGTGACGAATAAAACTTTATTTTCGAGGTCTTATGATATTTGAAATTTCCTTGAAGTTTTTAATCAAACAAATTTAAGTCCTATATTCCACAAACGTTTAGACTCGATTAAAAATATTAGTTTTCGAAATCAATCGATCAAAATGAGGAAAAAGTCGAGATCCTCAAAAGGTACTTCTGTAACGCCAAATTAATTCAAGCTCAGATTTTCAATCCTATAACTCAATTTGGAATTGCTGCAAATCTAAAACTCAAAAATCCCCCCTCTCTCCCAAAATAATGGAAGCGTTCTCGTTACTTATTAAGGAAACCGTTGTTATTCAAGGTTCACTCCAGAACCTATGAAATTATGAAATTTTAGAACTGATAAAACCTAATCTTACAACTGATGATGGCTAATAAAATAATAATAGAATGGAGTCACAAGGTATTAATAACAAAGGAGTAATTGAGATGCCTTAAACAGAATGTATTGTTTTTGTTATATGTCATGCACTAAATCCATTGTATATAGTTTCATATTCTGATCTATTTTCCGCTGAACTGGTTTGGAAAATGATGAGTTCCACAAATTTAGTAAAATCGCTAATAGAATTATACCGTTTGCTTATAACTAATGTCAGGAAGGAAGCCTGTCGAAATTTTGACATTCAATGAAGAAATATTTATTCAAAATTATGTCCAGGATCCCGTTACTGGTTGTAGGCTTAGGCGCAGACTTTGGGGAGGGGAGGGCCATCGCCCCCCCCTAATAATGTTGAGGGAAGAGAGTATATTTTCGTCCCTCCCCAATAATTAAAAGTGAAAAAAAAAATTAAAATTTATAGCAAACATGCCAAATAATTTTCTTAATATGTAAATTAAAAAAAAAAAAAATGTAAATTTAATAAGAAAATAGAAATGTCGACTAGCTGGCTAAGCTTAGACCTATAAGTAGATAGCTAACTATTGTATCACAGCCTAAATATTACTATTATTTAAATTTTCATTCATAATCAGGAATAATGATAAAGAAACATATCTTTGGGCTTTATGATCCATTTAACTTTCATGTGATGCATTCAACATTTATAATTCATTCAACCCACATTTTTACGTGTTTTTCTTATAATTTTCCCGTCATAAAGTTGACAAAAATAAATAAGTACAAATATATTTTATGGAGAATGTTTTATAGACATTTTTACATATTGAGGTTGTGAAAACGTTTTATTTTTATTTAGAGGTTGTACAAACTAAGAAAACAAAAATAGTTTTTACGTTTCAATATTATTCATTTTTAGCTGAAAAAGTTCTAGAAATGTGTCTACGTTATGGAGGCTGTCCCTCTACCTCTCATGGTTAATATGATGCCGCTAGACTCAAGGTTTGTTAAAGTTTCAACACTTTACCATTCCCGTCCATCTGACAGCCTCTATAATGCTATTATGATCGCGGTCGCCAGAAAGTTTTTTTTTCTTTCACACACCGTCCTAAGAAAGATTGAAAATGTTATATTATTGAGAGTTTGTTCTCCGAAAATAAACATAAATTTACAACAGTGAGATGTTGTTAGGTTTTTTTTTTTCACTGCTTACACCCTCCATGTTATTTCAATTTATAAAACAAGAAAAAGGAAATCTCTCTACACTGCAATGAGTAGTGAGCTTGAGAACAGGCGATGTGGCCGTTTCACCATGTCGCTCCGCCATCCATCTTCTGTTATGTCTTGTATAGGAAGTGGAAGTTGAGGGCCGCTGGTGGTACAAGAAGTACATGAACCGAGGTACCGTTATGGTTTTCTAGGAGTAGTTCTATGAACAACAAGTGAGAGCGGGGAATAAGGTAGAAATGGGCGATAGTTGGTAGTACTGCCGATATATCGATAGTTCGTATATTTTGGTTTTTTTGGCTTTAAGACTTGTAAAAGCAAGTCCTATTTTAAGCAAGTCCTATTAAAAGCAAGTCCTATTATTCGTATATTTAAAAAAAAATAGTAATTTATCAAGAATCTGAAATTGTAAGTTATTGCAGATGTGTTTAATTTTAATGTGTTAATAAAAAATTAAAATACTAAAAATTTAAGGTACTTCACAAATTACTAATTTGCTAAAATAATGAAATTACGTTAAATAATAAAGAAGCCTTCAATGATCTTACGAGCTTACTGCAGGAAGAGGCTATCATTGATGTTCAACCTAGCCCTGGAGAAGAGAATAGGAACAACATCGCCCGAATGTAGCGGAGGTGCACGGCGGAATGAATCATAAAATCCTTGGATCCTCAAATGATATTGCTGTACTTGGAAGCAATCAAGAGGGCATTGAGAGTCTCGCTAAGACTCTGATAGCAGAGGCAGAGCAGATAGATCGCCCTCCAAGTAAATCGAGACAAAACAAAATATATCATAATAAGCCTAAAAGTCCACCCCATTGATAACAGGATCTGTATAGAAGGAAAATCATTCCCGAGAGTAGACAAATTCAAATACCTCGGATCCATCAACGGCCAGAAATAGACTAGCGTATAACTAGCGCAAACAGGACTTTCTTCTTCCTTTCAAAGGAATTGAAATCTCGAGGAATCTCAAATTAATCTCAATAACTCATGAAATGAAGGCACGGAGGTTAAGATGGTGAGGCATGTAGCTCGGAGCAGTCATATCAGTATTCGATGATTTTATTTCTGTTAATAATATTGTTTATAAATTACTATTTATGGTAACGGAACTTACTAATACTTTGTAAGAATTTCTTCCGCTCCCTCCTCATCCCCCCCCGGTCCCTCCGACCTGGTCATTGAGTATTTGGGCAGTTGACTCATTTTCTAAAAGCTACTCTATATTTTTTATTATTAAACCCTACTCACCAGTTAAAATTGTTTATGTTTTCTTTCCAGTGATTTATTTTGTTACCGCGAAGCTGTCGGTTTTTGTTTATGTTAGCCTTGTTTTCCACCGCTGCTCCGTGATCCGTTTGATGTTATTTTAAGAAGCTCAAACTGTTGCAAAAGCTGTTCTAAAATTGGATATTGTTGTTTCCAACGAATATCCTCTCTAAAAGGTGTACGCGAATTTATTTAATTAAATTCTAAACTTGGATGTTAGTGATGAAATTTAGGTTTGAACTGAATCACACTTTTTTTTTCCAAATTTACCCTTCACATGCTATACATTATGTAATAAAATCTAGTTGGATTTTAAGCTGATGATTTTATAGATTCTGTGCACGGGAGGATCTACGGAGGAGGGGGCTTTCGGGCAGAAGTCCTCCCCGAAATGGTAAAATATAACCATGTTTTATCGAAAAAAATATTTAAAAAGTATCTCTTAAAGTATTATTGTTCGTGTGATTAGTATTAAAAGGGCTTTAGGAGTCACTTAAACACCATTTCATACAGGTTGTTAGTTTCTTTCTTTTTTTCTAAAGCCATTATCGTTATTTTTATGAAAAAAAAAACTTTCGGGCTGAAGCCCCCCCCAAAAATTAAATCCTGGATCCGCTAGTGATTCTGTGTATCTGTAAGTCTTTTTCCAACAAATCGAGTAGTAAATTTGTATGTATATTGAATTCATATTATAAAAGTGGCTTTTGATGGATTTCAACTTTTTTTTTTTTTATCACCCGCCGTTTATATTAGTTGAATTCGGAAATAAACCTGGTTTATTTTCCGTTGGCATCACTAGCGAATCCAGAATTTAATTTTGGGGGGGCTTCAGCCCGAATTTTTTTTTTTTTTCATGTACATATAACGATAATTAATTTGAAAAAAAGGGAAAGAAATTAATTACCTATATGAAATGGTGTTTATGTTGTCCTTAAAGTCCTATTAAATATAATTACACGAACAAGAATACTTTATGAGATAGTTTTTAATATTTTGTTCTGTAAAACATGGTGATATTTTACTATTTTGGGGGGGGGGAGGGCTTCAGCCCGAATGCCCCTCTACCGCCGTAGATCCGCCTGTGGTTGGCATTACAAATCTTGTAGATCTATTATCGCCTTAACAAGCCTACTCCATCTATGTCTGTCTTGGATCAGTTCTTTTCAGTTATCTGCATGGATGCTATATTGCATCTTTGTTGATTCTATCTATCCATCTCTTTTTTGGGCTTCAAAGTGGTCTTTTAACTTCTGTTGAGACATTCAATGTTACGTAGAGGCTTCCGGATGGATTGTTACGAGCTACATGTACCATCTTCACCACCGTGCCTTCATGTCATGAGATATTGATTGTCCAGTTTCTTTAAGCAGCTCTTTCTTCTCCATGTGTTAGTACTCTGATCCCAGATAGCTCCGGTTATTGTACGAAGGATTTTTATTTCTAATCTTTGAATACTGGAAATAAAGTATAAAAATAAATAATAGAAAATAAATTTTCAAAACAAATCGAATTTCAGCAGTTCAATTGGATTAAAACTTCTTTTAATTTTCTTTAAATAAGCATTAATGAGGCAATTAAATCACTTTTCGCTTCTTTTTCCAAACAATAATAATTGAAAAATAGATGGATAAAATAATGTGGAATATAAATGGACTATAGAAATATAATAAAATAATGGAAAAATAAAATGGATTTTTGCTGTTCTGCTTTTTTATATAAAACATTTAATACTCAGTAAACCAATCACCTTCGATAAACCTTATTAATTTAATGAAAAAAAAATCAGTATTTTTAATTAAGTTTATGTTGAATCTGACAGAAGTCACGACGAATACGATAATTCAGAGATTAAAATATATTCCTACTTTAATTTGCGTTGTAGATTAAATAAATTACTGCTATGTTCTAACTGTAACTACCTCATTGGAATTGATGATTGACCGACCAGATTGTACTACCATGATATCATCATTGGCTGCACCAAGTTGCGCCAC